CTATGTTTATTTATGAAATACACCTTTAATTTCAACGTTTAAAATTATAGTATTATTTTTTTTAATGTTTTGTTCGCAGTTGATATTGTAGAAGTCTACTTCATTACTCCGATTTGTGTCATGTAAACAGTATAGAGAGATTTCTTAAATGCAAAATGTGCATTTGTAGGTTAAATAAGCAGTTTTGAGGAAAGTTCGTAGGAATACTACAATATTTGGAACTTTATTCTTGAGGCTGTATTTTTAGCGTAAATTTAAAAGTTTATTCTGAGATATTAAAAGTTCAAAAAGACCGCTCTTCCATACCTCTGTTTCTTTTCGTTAGCAAAAAGGGATATAAAAACTCTGAAAATATTTCTTTTTTAATGAGGGATTCTTCCCAATGAACAGATTACAAAACATAATTTATTTGACATTCTTAGTTTTCATTCAAACGTTTCGATGGTGTATTGAAGGTATAACAAAAGTATCTAATTGTTGAAATCTTCTAGTAATTTCTTGGAACACTTCGCCTAATTAATGCAAAACTATTTTTCTTTTCAATTTCATTTCATGTGGCAATTCAAGACCCACATACTTGACTTTATTCAAGACTCTTAAATATATATTATTACGAAAAATCAAGGCGCGGTGAGATGGTTTCCCCGCAAAGCAGTTTTAGGGCAACAGAAGGCAGGGTTGCCACATTTGGAGAGAAATCGCCATTTGGCGATATGCCGTTTGGCAAAACTGGCGATATGCCATGGACTGATGGAGAATCTTCTGGAACGAATTCTTACCGGTTTAGCCCAGAATGTTCTCGAACACAATCCGAAAGCTATATAAACCCTGTTGGTCCGTCCGCAGTCGGTGTGTGTGTGTGCCTCGTCGAGAAGGCGAGTGAGAGTGCCTCGTAAAGTGCGAGATAGTTAGGATCGAGTTGGTGTCTCGTCTAGCGAGTCAATCCCTGCGGAGTCGATCGAGTTGACAGCCGGGCAGCGAGTACCGAGTGGGTAGTCGAATGCACCGAAGTGTTAGTGTACGGGTTAGTGCATCGTCGAGAGAGTGTTGAGCTCCGGGAACGATGAACCGAAGAGTCGACTTGCTCGTTGTCGTCCTACATCTCGGAGTCTCGAAAGTACGGAGTTCCGAGAACGACCAGCAAGTCGGAGCTTACTCTGGTGCATTGCAGAAGCTGTCTCCACCGCTACTGCCTGACAGGTGAAAGCTGACGCTGATCGCTGTCAGCGTGTTGATAACAGTTCGACGACTGTAAACGAGATTTGGAGCTGCCTGAGTATACAGCCATAAATGTGTTTCGATACTTCATCAGTTCGTCGTCATTCACTCCAAATCACGAACCCCGTACGAACGTGAGGCAGAAAATACGTAAAACTGGTGTCAGAAGAATAAAAAAACGTAACAATATATATATATATATATATACTCCTTCCACATGACTAACTCCTATAAAATAATATTTCGTATCTAAAATGCCACCCTCTAAAGAAATTACCACATACTTGACTTTATTCAAGACTCCTATATTCAAGACTACTCTATTCAAGACTGGCACCCTCTAGTTACGCCTTTGACTCTATGCAAACGTTAGTCATATCACAACAGAGTTGGCGCCAAAAGCGGGGCAAAAATACGGCGGAATTTAATAGCGGCAAAGTAAGTGTTTAGAATTATGTGTGGCACCAGTGTCAGAATTGAGGAGCCGCAGATTGCACTGGAACAGGGCTGTCCTACTGGCGGCTTGCGGATACGGCCCGCCAAATTATTTTTACGGCCTGCGAGTACATTTTACTATGAATAAATTTATGTTACTAAATTATTATTATTACTATTAAAATTATTTTACTGTGTGAAAATTTGAATTTAAAGTAGGTCTATTATTAGTTACTCTTTATTTAAAATTTTGAATTAAATAGTTCTATTTAAGTAGAATTTGAATTTAAAGTAGGTACTACTATTATATAAAGTAGGTACTATATTTATTCTACGTAACTTCACTTAACTTGGCGATACAGCGCAATCCCTTTACGTCTGATGATGGTTGCTCAACATTGGCGCCACATATTATATTGGTGGTGTTTGTTGTTTTCTATGGTTGGCGCACTGATGCTAGTTTGTATTTGTTTCATGCATCGCGAGATGCTCCTGGTCTTTTTGAGGGTTGCCTGTTATAATAATATTTCTTAATTTCATATTTTTATTATTAAATAATTATTGATATGAATGCTACTAATAAAAGAAAAATAGACCTGAAAATCGAGAAAAATTTAATAAAGGAGATAGAAGAGATAGATTAGCACAAGAATTGTAAACCCGCATGTTTGGAATGTTTATCAAAGCTGTGTGAAAGAATAGAAGAAGTTAATTGAATCGCAGTTTTCTTTCCATGCTGAAAAAAAGTAAATACACGCGAGACAAATGAAAGGCACTGAAAAAAAATGAAAAAGGCACTGGATTTATTTTAATCAAGAAAAAATTTGAAAGCATCGTGCTGCTCGTTTGAAGTTGTTTAGAAATAAAGACAAGACCCTTTTTGGATGGAGAATCATTAAAAATGTGTCATAAAAATGGCCAACATTTAAAGACCACGAATGGTAAAAATTTCAAACATTACACTTTCTCACCAGACTGTAACACTGTAAACGAGATTAGCTTGCATGTCACTAAAATTATAAAAACCTAATCATAGTGCTGCTATTTTCGGTAGCATTGGATGAAGCACAAACTTCCGAACAAGTCAAAGCTTATCTATAAGAACGAAATGAAAAGCTAATTATTCAGAGAACTTTTAAAATTACATCCTTACACGAACAACAAAAGGTGAAGATATTTACACATTAAATGTTCATAAGCAGTATGCGGATTTGACAAGTGAACTGCTATTGTAACCGACGGTGCTAGAGCTATGACGGGCAATATTGCTCGCGGGACTTTGCAAAAAGAAGGAATACATGTCTATGTTACCTGTATTATCCATCAGGAGGCATAATGTGGTTTATACCTAAAGACGTATGGACAAGGTTTGAAATTACTAATTTAAAATTCGTGGCGGAAATCGTTCTCTTACACACGAAAAATTAAATATCTTTTGGATGAATTGGAAACTGCATATGAGAATCTACTTTTAGTACGGTCGTTGTTTACTGCTGGAAAGTGCTTGAGGAGATTCTTTACCACTTCGAAAAGAAGTTCATCTTTCTCAGAAATTGCGTCGAGAAAATTGACAGGAATTTAGTGATAAAAATTTTAGTCCTGGTTCCCCAACGGACTTACAATTATTTAAATATTTTGAATAATCTTGCAAGGACAAGATCAAATTGTGTTGCCTTTATAATGTACGGGATTTAGAAACAAATTAGATTAATTTATTAATTAACAAATTGTTAAGTTAATTTGGAGCAAAATATTTATTTCATTTTAAGCTTGCAATAGCTCTATGAAGAAAGGAAGGAATGTAAATAGAAGCGAATTTAAATATTTCTAAAAAACCAAAATTGGATAAGAATTACGAGATTTCAATGTCTCAATTTGATGATCTTAAACAGTCTATTGATTATTTTGTGATCCAATTAATATTGAATCAACTCCGTTGATCTTAAATATCAAATAGAATTATGCGACTTGCAGCTGACCCTTTTTTACATTTCGTGCGTACTAGAATAGAAATATTCAAATTTTTAGATAAAGAGAATATCCAAAATTCAGAGATTTTGGACTTCAATTGTATCAATGTTCGTACGTACATATATCTCGAGCGTGCATCTCCGATATGAAATATATAAATCAAAATAGAAACAGTTTGAAAGATTCCACTCTTGAAGATAATAAGTCTTTCCGCAACAAATATTGATGTGAACATAAAAGATATTGTTGGCTAAACATTCACAATTTTTCTAATTAATATTTTTTAAAAAGTTTTCTTTTAGTAAATAATATTTTATTAACATAATTGACTTTACTTTATCAACTTCTTTGGCCCCCGAAATGTTTGGTGAAGAAATATGGCCCGCGTGCTATGATAATTTGGCAGCGCTGCAAGACGTCGCATATTTTCAGTGCACGATAACGCGAAGAATAGAATAAAAGGAAGGAAAAGAAATAGTCAAAAATCACAATTATGGAAATCGCCGATGTCGATGTAAAAACAAAAATAATAATAGAATAAATCAAAATAAACAGGTGCGAACGCATAAAATCGCCGAAAACGATAATTTTTTTTAATTAGCAATTATCAGGGACAGGGAAGACAAGACCGAAATCCAAAAAAAAAATAATAGCTTTAAAACATTAATGAACCGACTACCTGACTAGCCAGGGAACCAATTATTCGAAAAAATCTCCATGCATAACAATATAATAAATGTGAAGCATTTTATAGAAAGTATTTTAGTAAAACAAAATGTATATGGCTGATATTTACACTTTTACAGCGGCTGGATACTGTTCTGCAAAATGACGGTTAAATATAAAAGCGGGGCAAATCGTTGTGTACGTTATAATATGATATCGGTTGGCCGGTTACGTGCTACTCAAATAACCTGACATACGTCAGTTGACAATAGGAGTGTTGAAATCAGGAGTTCAAATCGAGTTTTGAAACCAGGAGTGTGGATAATAAGAAAGTATCAGTGTTTGTAAAAGTTTTGAAATAAAACACTGGTTAAAACACACATGCTTTATTTTTTCCCCCTTTTAGGCCATAAATTATGCAATATGTCATATTTTCTACAAAAGTTGGGATATTATATCTTTAAAAGGTAAGCGATTAGTTTAGCCCGTTTGGAAGCTCAGGCTGGAAAAGATGACGTCATTAACATTTTGTCAGATTTAAGTCATAATTATACTTTGATAATAAAATAAATGGTTTTATTTATTTTATTTTAGAGAATTCCCAAACTACGGTTAAAATAATCCATGTATTTTGAATTACTGAAATATTAATCTTTGGCAACATGAAACCTTTTAACACGGGAAAGGACCGCAGAGAAGCTGCACCAAAGTATATAAGCTCTAATGTTTTTCAACAGCGTTTAATTAAATGCAGTTGTTAGGTACGTTTATGACGAGAGTTAGACTTAGCAATGGCTTTGCTAAAGGTAGTTTTTTTATTCGTTTTTATTAGCAGTGCTAATGCCTGGTTCAGTGGAAAAAGTATGCATTGTTTTCACATCTACTACTATCTTTTACTGTTAGGATTTTTAATATGACAAAATTTTGGATTCTAGCTCTGAATCATTTTCATTATTAAAATTCTATTATTATATCTTTTAAATTATCAGTTTATATGTATTTAATATATTTGACGAGTTATAATGAGGTTAACCACGAGTTGCATGGGGGTGTTTCATTCTCAGAAAACTTCATTCATTTCTTATGCGCTGAATTTTTATCCTTAAAATAATTATCCTTATCCTCGCACTAAATTATGTACTGCAACAATATGAATCGTATATTTTGTTAAAAGAAGGCATGATTCACGGAAGGCTTTTAAAGCCGGAACAAAAACTGTAGTCAATTTGAGTATAAATCAAACTTGTTAATAACTTTAAAATATTTTGCTTATTTTTCTAATACCACAGTTTACTGATGTAAAATAGCAACCTTTCTGCAAAGATATTTCTATAATTGATTTAAGTTAACTTCGGCGATTACTTTTTAAAGACAAATGAACTTAGAAAATAATTTAAGGGTAGTTTTAAGATAATTGCGGTAGAAGTGAATAAACATCTAGAAGTAATCTATAAATGAAAAATATTTTTCATCGAGTTCCTGCACTGCGTATTTTATTAAAAAATTTATCTGATTTACTCGTGATAAGCTAGAGAAGTTCTCCAGCTTCACCTGAAATAAATTCTAGAAAGATGCCATTTTCTCTTTCCTAACTTTAAAAGTTTCTCAAATTATGCTCTTAGGCACTAAAAATGTTTATTCCTTACTGTATCATGTATCAAACACGCTAGTGATTTCATAATTCTCATTCGATAAGCTTCGTAAACTGCCATATTTTTACTGCATCTAAGTAGTTACTTTACAAAAATTAATCAATTTTTGATCTATTAATTATAGGAAATTATAAAATATTAAGAGAACTCAAGGTTTAGTATGCGAGCATTTGGAATGAGAAACACAAAATTCCGAGTCAGATTAACTGCTCATAGAACAGGAGATTGGTGGATATATATTTGAATCGGATTTATGCAACAGAATGTCTGGAAGAGATGAATGTACAATGTTCATATCAAAATGAGAAATTCGCGGCTCATTTGCTCATTATACTTCAAAGCGGCTGTTTCGTCACATGGCTTTTGTGCAACTACTTGCATTCAAACAAACACGTTTTTAGCTCGTTGCCCGGTTAAGCAAGGACATTTGTGTTTCAAGGACAATTATTCTTGAACAAATCCGGTTCAGAGCTCTAAACCGGGTTTATTCTCAAATAAGAGATGAAGTGCTACAAAATGTCAATTTTAAAATACGACGTGCTAGAACATTACCATTTTCCTCTTGCTTAATGTGCAAATAAGACTTGTAACTGCTGTATTTTTCAAGTCTTACCAAAGTTTTCTTTCAAAAGTTGAGCAAAATTTAGAACTAATTGAAATACTTCTGTATTTCTCATAGCCTTTGACCGTTTACACAATTCTTGAAAGGCACGGCATTATTCTTTACTATAAAATATATATTTGAGCTCTCGTATTACCCTACAAATGTTTTATTCAAAAGGAACACTAATGAAATAAATGTAATCGTTCAGACTTTCTTTACAATGCTAAAGTTAAGACCGAAATCTGATATTATAATCTAACTCATCACCGTATAACTTCAGTGTGCTCAATTTTTGTGTTTTATTTCGCCAATCCTTTTTTAAAAAGATCTGAAAATTGTTAAACTATTACGAGGACCAAACCATAAATACTTAATATACCGCCTCTAAACCAATTTATCGGAAACTTGCTTCTATACAATTGACTAATTTTTCAAGAGTCGTAAGCGATCGACAAATTATCCGTGAAGAAGCTCACCAGTGCCTGAATGAATAAAAGCATGGAACGCTGAAAAATCCGAGGCTGAGCAAATGGGCTCGCTGCATGTTGTTTTCGTGGTTTTCCCTTCGTGTAACATAAATACGAACTAGTTTTCCTAGAAAGACTTTCACAAAGGTGTCCTTGGATACTTACGTACTGTTAGCTGGATTCTATTGACCAACCGGTTGTAAGAGGCTTTTAACTACAGTTTTGTATCCAAACAGCGTTTTCGCCCATTGTAAGAAAACTAGAAATATTCTTTCTCTAAAAAGGCTACGATTTTTAAGACTCTCAGAGTTGCGTATTAGCTACTTAAAAAAACTGTCCTTTCTGAGACTTTCTCTCTCTAACATTGCAATCCAACTCAAGTTTGTAATTAAAGAATATCTTAATCTGTACTTTTTGCAATCTTCGTTAAATTTTTCTCCCATACGTGGAACTTTCACAATATGGGCACAGTTTAGTATTCTGCAGAGAAACTTCGAGCTCTGCATAAAAGTTCTCAACAGTATTAAATTCGAGTACTTACACGAGCTTCCGTTCGAGACTAAACTTTTGATATGAAAAATGTTCTTTATTGAATTTCAAATTTACGAGAACTACTTTCAAAAAGCACCCCACTGCCGAGCGGTAACGTCCGCAACAGCCCGTGGTAGTGTTCGGAACCGAGGTTCCCGCATCCCGCGAACGGGCTGGCTGCATGGGTGTTTTCCCCATCTGTAACGTGTATACGAGTCAGTTTTCCTTAAAAAGTCCTCCACAAAGTCATCCCTCCCTTAAGGCAGATAGCCCTTGAGTGCTTTGCCGTAATCTAAACCAACCAAACTAATCTTTTAAAAGTTAAAATGAAGGCAATAGAAATGGCAGTATGTTGTTAATAATTAAGGTAAATTTAGCATTTGAGAATTTTTTTCTGACAAACGGTTTTCAAGCCAAAGGGTAGCCGTAGTTAGTAGTAGTAGTAGTAGTTAGCCGTAGTAGCCAAAGCCACATGCATGTCCCCGCCGTAGTCAATGGTGGGATACATACGTCCAACACGTAGCGATAGAAAAATTGTCAGCTGTATTATATAATATTCTGGAAAACTTTATTATATGAAATGAATTATATTATATCGCATGATACAGGGTAAAAATCCTTCTTTACGTAACCCAACATTACACATTGAACTCTTATTTCTTTTCTCTGTTCATTTGTGTACAACGAGAACATGAACGTTTTTGTTAAAATTGCTTTTGTAATATGGTACTTTAATGTTATACTGTACGCATTCAAAACTCGGGATATGAAGGTTTGCCGTAAAATTATATGAATTATAACTCTAGACGCATTTTAATGAGAATTTGTGTTTTAATGCTTGAATTCTTAAATAGTATCTTTTTAAAGACAGTTTCTTATATTTGTGCTTTAGTTCTTTTAAAACTTATTGTTCACGAGGTTTCAAAGTTAAAATTCTGTTCCTTGTACTTCTAGCTCAATAAGTGTTCTCGTAGAATCTGAGATAACATTAAAATTTTATGGGTAATTCAAAAATTACTATGACGAACTACGAATTATGTTGTAGTGGAAATGACGCAAATTGTTCTTCATACGATTCTGCAGGTTTTCGTAATAAGCTCTGAAATGAGTTATGCATCACTTGCATTAAGTGCGTGCAACAGTTAATCTAGGAGACAAACCAAATTTAAAATACGAAGTTTCGAGAATAAATTCGAAAAAAGCTCTTTGCCATTTCTTAAATTATTCCGTTAAATCAAAACTGATTACGTTAAAGATCTCTCAAGTTACTTAATATAAGCAATTAGTCTCTGGTTCCAGTGAACGGATTGACTGCATGGAACTTCTCTTATTTGCTATATGTAAAGTGAATATGACCTAGTTTTCCTTGAAGTTCTCCAAGAAGGCCTGCCTTCCCTACGGGTAGGTAGGCTTCGAGTGCTTTCTCGTAAGTAAAAATAATCCAGTTCTCAGTCTTCAATACTTGGATTTCAAATTTTATCATGAACCTACTTGATAGCAGCTGTCGTTTCAAAATGTTTCGGACCTCTTCAGCTGAAGCAAATACTAAACATGCTATCCAAATGCGCTGTAGAAAATTCTATTGATCCTTAAATTATATTTCAAGTATTTCGTATATATCCTGAATATATCTTTAAATGATTTAGAAATAGGCGCTTTTTTTCTCAAAGATCGCTCTTTTGGCAACTGAAATTATTTTATATAATAGCTAATAAAGTATTTCGCTCTAGGAAAAATAATCGTGCCTTTAAGCTAAGCTAATTGCTATTCGTTTAATACATGAAAAAGATACCAGTCTTGTGCTGACATGCCAGGTTGTCTTTGATTTGGCATTGATTTTGAATGCTACATGATGAATTTCAGGTAAAACTAATGCTGTTTCCAATATTAAACCCTTTTGTGAAATCAACGCCAGTTCTTTAAAAACGCTGACTTGAATTGGCGATGTAAATCAACGTATCAGGCTTCTAAAACATATTTACTTTCAGATGTTTTTAATGGGCACTTTCCTAGAACAGCATTCCTCTCGGATAAGTTATCCTAAGTATACTTGAGATTCTGGATTATTAAAATTGTAATGGTGCTTGGCCGCAATGCATATTCGCTTTAGAGATTCACGGCGAGTTTCTCAATGTTTGTATCACTTATGAAGACTGGTAATAAATCAACATTCCGAATATAGTTCCAAAGGTACTGACCATTGCGCAAGAAATTTCTTTTCTTGAATTTTCGAAATAAACAAAGCAAATCTAAAGAAATGTCCAAGAATTCTCAAAATCGCTTTCTAGAATAATTGTTGCGCCTCATTTGAAATTTTTTGTCTAAACATTTTGGAATGAACTCTGAGAAACAGAACGTGATTAAATTTAAAGCAATTATTTTTACGACACATACAAATATTCCTGATTTTAACTGAAGATTAAAACTGAATTACCGAAAGTTCAGAATTTATAAAAAAGCTGTGAAATAAAATGCTTCCTATCCTTCAATTCAGTTTTTTGTCTAATTTCAGTTTAATGATCTAAATTGAATTTAAAACACATTATCAAATTTCGCTATATTATTAAGGGTTATAAAACGGTAATTATTCATACTATTCGTCTACAATTTTAAGCATATACTTATTGTGGTTATAACACTTACAGAATTTAATTTAAATCAATTTTAATTGACAATGGAAATGAAACATTGCTTCACTCAACAATCAGCGTCTAAGCTGGTGTTCATACTCCCCTAGAGTTTATACTTTGAGAAATTTGATCTAAGCAGTACTAGCGGTAATTGTGTAGATCATTGTTTCTTATGCCGAAGTTGCAAGAATACTAGTATCCTTTAGAATGCAAACAGACTAATTTTATGAAAGTACATTTTAAAGTAATTTGCTCCATGCAAGGGTCCGAGACAGAGAATCATCTCAGAAGTTCTGAAAGCTTGGAAAAACTATGAATGGAAATTCTCAGTAATGTTTCGGAATTATTTTTAAATATTTGCACTTATTTTAACAAAATGACGCACCATGGTTATTAATTAGAATTGCTTTTACCTGTTTTTTCAAGTTATTGGTTTAAACTTGAAAAGTGATTTGACTTGATTGAACTTCAGATTTACAGCTTATTTTAAAGCGTTTACTCTTAAAACTGGCCTGAATATCTGATTTTAGCACTTCTCAATGTATATACTGTAAAGAATGTTAAGGTATTCTGGTTTACCTTCCCTTGTTTTCATGCTAGGCTCTAACGAGTTGAATGGTGTCTTTGCTGCGAAAAATCCTTGTATAACTGTACCATTAGGGGGCGTAGAATGGATTCTTGCTCAAAGGAGACCAGACTATGGATGGAAGCAAGATACTCATCGAGCTATCATCGCTTTGTCCGTCAATGGATGGAAGAATGTACCTAAATCGGAGATTCTCCAGTCAGAATTACAACTCTGTGTCGAGATTACAGATGCACTTATGAGGTAAATATATTATTCTTAATTCAGAATTTAGTACCGAATTTCTTTTAGTATTTATCAAAGCAGTCGTATTCTAATTCGGTAAAATTTGGTAAAATCCAACTGGCCTAGTGGCTATATGCTAATTTTTATTCATTGCCAAGACAAATTTGAAACTGATTTTTGTTTTAGTACTATTAAGAACCTACAAACGTTAAATTTTTTGTAACTAGTAATAGTTGGAACTAGGAAATACCGTTTTGCAACTAGAAATGGTCAACGTTTTTCAGTTAAGTACGTGTAATGCATTTTTAATGAGCTGTTGACTATTTTTAAGAATTTAATCAGTAATGAGTGCTTAGCATATTTTCACTAATACGAAACAATTCGTTATGGAATGAATTTTAACGAATAGAAGTTTTACAATAAGCTATATATACGTCTGCGATTAAAACAAGTGAATCTTAAGTTGTGAGGTAATTAAGTTACACTAGAATCTTCCTAAAAACAAATTTTCATAAAAACATGCATTAAACTTGCATTGGTATTATTCGGTTTTGAGGGCCGTAAAAAATCGTCAAACTATTGTTGATGACAGTGCTTCCAAAAATAATTGCGGCAACCCTAACGCAAGAAAGTATAATAGTAAATGAATATCTAAGATTGATGTTTTAATTTAGATGAAAAGTTAATTTCGTATAATACTTTATTATTATAATTTATATAAAAAGACTACACATGATTGAATGGAAGCATAAGAGTAAATAACCTTGTATTTCAGATCATTATTATAATTTATATAAAAATTGCTAAACATAACTGAATGGATGCCTGCATTGCTATTTCGCTACCGAGTTATCGTTAAAGCATAATTTCATCTCGTTGGTTGTTCAAACAATTTTCTATAATGAATGATGCCTTTTCTTTGAAAAAATTCTCGTAAAGTGCAGAATCGCCCACTTATTTGTTCGCCGCTTTTTACAAAAGCTAAAAACAATTGGATTTTTGTCAATTTTCTTTTACTTTTTGAGTGAAAATAGGTCGATGTGTACATAGGTAAGGTCAAGGGTGTGCGAAGTGCCATTTTTGTGCAATTCTGGGATTTTTTTTTAAGTGAAAATAGGTCGATGTGTACATGGATACCGAGTATGTGCAATTCTTAAAACCGCGTCAAGCAGTACGTAATTCTGCACTTTACCCCAAATTCTATTGCAGACTTTTCGTCACGGGAAATTCCCAAATTGTTAAATTCATAAGATATCAAAAATGGATTTAAAATCAAAGTATTTAAAAATTAAACTAGTATTTCAATGGCGTCTTAGAAATATAGAACTATATAAACTTACGCAATCTGAAATCAGCGTGCATGCTAGATTTGGTGCGCTGTTAAATGGGCACGTTTGCTAGATTTGGCGCTTTTGCGCATACATTTTCGCTGCAATTTTTTTACGATCCTCAAAACTGAATAGTACCCTTGCATTTCAGCTGTTTCTGATTGATTTATTTTATACCCTCAAAAATACCGTATGGAAATTTGGAAGTAAATATAAAAAATGTTTAACATTCAAATACTTAAACTTTAAAATTTGGTTATAGGAATTGGTTCTGCCTCTCCTAATCTATAAAAATTAGCATTTAATCGTATAGTTTTAGATGTCATAATATCCTCCAAGCACTATGCCAACGATGTGCTTGTACACTGAATATATCGTTCAACGATATTCTTAGTTCTTTCTTCTACATTAAGTTTCAAATTAATTTTACCCCTGAATTCATGTAACTGTTTCGAGACGAGACCATAAGTTTTCAGGGAGTATTTATTTAGAGAATGAGTAGGACTATTCGGTTATTACTAGGAGTAGACCTAAACGATCTTGTGTACTTTTTCTAATCGGATGACGAATTTTATTCAGAGATCAGCTGACATTGTCAAATGTAAAATCAAGGCCGTTTTGAAGAAATGTAAATGTGTAATTTTAACACTTTACCGACTGCTAGCGGTTCAACAGCATACGCGCGTCCGACCGACCGCTCAGCCGCAAATTCTTCCTGTCCTGAATAACTCAAGACAATCTGATAAATCGTCTAAATAACTCTCCAGTACCATTTTTCGCTCATCGTGAATGGTAAATTTTTAAACTGTGAAAATGTGGGAGTTTACGAAGCAACGCACTTAACGCAAGTGAGCAATGTACTACCTCAGTACTAAAAATGCAGATTATGTAAAAAATGGTAATTGTTTATCGCTATGGCTACAAATTGATAGGCTATTTTTAGGTAGCTCCGAGAAAAAGCTATCAATAGGCTATCGGTTGGTAGGCGCTGGCGAAAAAAAGCCGATTGATAGGCTATCGGTTGGTAGGCGTTGGCGATAAAAAGCCGATTAATAGGTGATCGTTCGGTAAAGTGTTAATATTGTTTTGTTGACATAGTTGAGTATTGCTAAGTTCAAATAGGTTTATATAGGAGTCAAGTTTAATATGTTCAACATACCACATGCTTATTGCTAAATATTTCGATAAATTTTAAAAAGTGTAAACAAGTAAATACACTTAATGAGCTCAAATTTTAGATAAAATATTTAAGCATCTTGATCTAAGCTCATTTACAGAGGGTGTTTTCACATTTTTAGAAAGAATTCGGGACAGTTTAATATTTAAAATGTAAAGAGCATTTTTTAAATGTTTCATATGATAGCTTGTTTGCTGTATTATAAGTCCACATAGTAATTTCCATGATGGAAAGGACTTTCGTAAAATTTCCAAGGGTATCGATTTCCATTCCTCTTTCGTTACCTTCCAGAACCATAATCGTGGTGACTTTGCTCTTGAAAAAAAGCTCTTAAAACACCAGAGCCACAATAGTCTATACGTGAAACATCAGCGGACTTTGCAGGAATACATTGAAAAGGTATATACGTAATATTTATCATTCATTTTTCAAGGAATGCAGTGGTACTTTTTGAAGTATTTCTTGCTTCGTCTTCATGACGTTTCATCCTTTGAATGTCATTTGGATAAAGAAATTGAATTTCTTCTGTAATTGTTACGTAAAACTTCCTCTTGATACTACGTTGAGTTTTTTAACATTTTTTCAGCTCTTGTAATTTTTAATTTCCGCCTATAAGAGAATATAGCGACAATCTTAGACCCCTTACGTAAACTTTCTTTGCTCTAAAGAAACCAGGTCTGTACATTTTCTTCTGTTTTTTATAATAGGCCTTTTTTATTGCAACCGTTTTGGTAAACCCATGGTTTATCAAGACTTACAATGTGTTTCTCTTTACCTCCTGATAAATAGTTTTATTAGGAGTTCTATAAATATTTCTACACTTAGCCGCATGCCTCGGCCAAATCAGATTAACATTGTTTTTAGCTTTTTAAAGTTGTAAATCTTGGTTTATTTTAATTGTTGCTACAGATGTATTCCGACTGATTTCTGCTTTAGTGAATTTTCTCTTGATACCGAAGGTTTTGTGTTAGAAATATTACAAACAGAAAGTACCTTTTTCGGATGTTTGTTTGGAACTTTCTTTCCATGTAGAAATAATGATTGAGGATTTTTACTTTCTGAGTAACAATGTTTCTTTTATTCACTTAAAAATCTAATCGTAATACCATGCATTTCAAAAAGTTTCTGAAGGACCAGGAAAATTTCACCTTGGGAAGCACAAAAACATATCCTTCAATTCACAGCTTGTTTACATGTGATATTTTGAAAGAATAAATTTGAAAGTGGCACGATATTTCTCGTATCATAAGCTACTGCTAAAAAGTATTCCAAAGCATTTATTTTTATTTCTTTATTGAAATTAGAAAAACTTTCGAATTTGATTTTTAGAATAAAGTTTGTATGTATTTCTGAAGTTGTATTGCTGCTTGGTAGTTCTGTTAGAAGTTGCTCTGATTTTGAGAATTAACACATTTGTTTTGTTTCTATTTTCAGAGATACATTATATCCAATGAATGCAAACGATTTAGCTCTTTATGTGCAGTCTCTGATTGCAATTAACAAGAATCCGAGAAATTTCCATGGCTTCGATTTAGTAGGCAAACTGCTCAAGTTGGTAAAGGAGAAGAAAGATAATCATCCTTTCCTAGTACTGGCTCTCTGCGACGCGAATGCAGCAACTCTAGATCATTTCTCTAGTATCCGGGAATATTCGAAGAATGAAAAAGCTTCACAGTCCAGGCTTAAATATGGTATACTTAATTTAACAACTTTTTATCAATGTTAAAAATTGTAGCTTATTTTACTGAATTTATATTAGATTCCTTTTTTCATGGTATTAAAGGTTCGTCAGATTTTCATATCCTTCCATTTGATACTGTATCACTTTGAATCCAAGCCGCAATAAAGTTTTTAAAATAGCAAAAATTGGAGAAAAAGTAGCCGCCTTTGAATTTGAGACCAGTAGTATTTTAAACTTTGGAAAAACTTAAAATTTGTATTGATTTTTAAGACCAAATGGAAAAGGAAAATTGTCAGAAATAAATTTCTGAAATATTCATTTTTAATTTAAGACACTCTAACTTTGTGTTAAAAATCTGAAAGGAAAGTGCAGCTCAAATTCGAAGTAATATGCTAAACCCATATTACATCGCATACAACATAATACATACGCATTAACGCGCTTTTTAACGCATAAGGGTATTATAAAATGTCTGATATATTAAAGCCAGATTCCGAAAATCCAGTCCACTAATTCTAAGCTTTACGAGTTTCGAATATCTGAATATTAGTTTTTAAATATAGTAGCTATGACTTTCGTGAGTTTTCATATCATTCTTAGATTTGATAGCAGCGAAAGATATGAAAAATTTATTTAAATCATGCATTCTGAAGCTGATATAGAAAGCTTGATACTCAGTACCTAGTTCGTTGCAAAACTGGTAGTCAGTTACCATAATGCTAAAATCAATCTTATTATCTAGCTTATACTATCTTCATATGCTAAACATTAAATGAAATGAGACTTTACTGAAGTCAAGTGTCGGGGTAGCTAAACGAAAATGTGTTTCAACATTATTTCTATCGCCGTTTTTTTCCCGAAATGCATAGGAAGGCGGCATTAGCCGAGCAGCTAACCGATTCTCGTAATTTTTTCAAATTCTTTATTTGTGCAACCTTGGACAGTAAGGGCTGTATATTTAAATTTTTTTATATCTTTCAAATAACTTTCTATTCTATGCTGACATACGTAATAACTTCTTTTTTCCGTAAAGTTCATGACAACAACTTTTAAATATGCACACAAAATCTAGCTAGTCTCAAATTAAAATTTAACACTCATAAGATCGAAATTAGTTATTCATAAATTAGCTCGGGCATCTCATCTCACGAAAATATTTTAAATCTCAAAACATCTGGTGCCTAGAATTTTGGGCGTGGACATTGAGTAACACATTAACACTGCAACATTTTAATGCTGTCAGTTACCTCAAATGCTGCCATGATAGCCGCCATGACCGAATTATATTTTTAATATTTCCAGTCAGAAGCCTTCTTAAAAAACTGCTTAATCTGCTTAATGATAATGAGTTGTGGACTTGACCGATAAACGTAGCGAAACTTAATTTTCTAAATTGGACATTCCTTAAGCGAAATTTAGGAAAACAAAAGCTTTTATTACATGTTAGTATCTTAAAGTATATATTTCGCAATAAATTTTATTTTTAGAATCTAATTCATTTTCGTATTTGTATTGGTATAAGATACTGTTTACAACAGATTCACTGCAATGAAAATAATTGGCCTTCATGCGATTTTTGTTTGATTCAATTTATTCCGCAGTTCACTTATCACTTTAGCGATGCTTGCTATATGCAAAATCTATAGTTTGTTTGAAGTAGTTATAGTTTGCTTTTGTTTTAGATTACGAAGCTTTGGCTCTTAAAGCTTTTGCCTGTGGAAGATTGAGCGAACATCTGAAAAAGTACGGAAATGAAATTGATCGTTCCGTTAGAAACTTGATCAGTCGTCAGAATGACGATGGAAGCTTCGGAAATATTTATACTACAGCCCTGATTGTCCAGGTGAGTACTTAATTTTGAAATAGGGAGCTACGAAATGAAATTGTAGATGTCTATTCAAAAAGTGAATTATGCATGAAAGTATGCTGTCATGTTTTCAAAGTTTTAATTTGGTATATTAAAATGAAAGATTTCTTTTGTAATGTCTTATTTACGTAGACGGAAAATCGCGCGTTCGAAATTGGTCCACAGGACTGATATCGGTCCTTTGAAGCTGGCCTTTGAAGCTCGATGATTTCACCGACGAATTTTTAATAGGATTTCTCCCTAAAAACTTATTGTTTGAATTTAATATTTGTAATCGTATACTTTTATTGCTTCACAATCTAATATTTTAGAAAAGGCCATCAATGACCAACCAAGTAAGAAAATTCAACATGAATATTTTGTTCCGGATTCCAGGCGAATGAGCTGACTGTTTGGCTTTCAAGTGTAACATGACTACTAGTTTTCCCTAGCACAGTGGCTTAGCTAGGGTGGGGCAAGGAGGAACATCTGTCCCCGGGCGCAGTATTCAAGGGGCTCCAAAATGATGCAACGAAATTTTTTAAAGAAATGTTTTCCATTCTTGGCACACAGAAAGGGGCGCAAATTCTTCAGTTGTCCCCGGACGCCGGAAACTTTAACTACGCCTCTGCCCTAGCAAGTTTTCTGCGAAGGCATTTTAAGGTGGATAAACTCTGCATCATTCGCCTTGCTTATTTTTCGATAAACCTTGTTGTCCACTTTTTTTTCCGATTGCGCATTAATTTTTCTCCGTTAAAAATAATTTGCGTTGATCCAAAAACATTAGTAAATAAGCTTTCAAAGTGGACTGAACCTACCAGTAATTAGTTGAGAAGGCTGTTGAAGAGTAGTTCGACACTAGTCCAAACCCTGGCGAAAAAACTGACTGCATGGCTATTTCCGTGATTTTTCTCGTATGTAATGTGAAAACTATTAGTTTCAGGCATCTTTTTCTTTAGGAAGAAAGTACATGCATGTGTTCTCATGACCAATTAAAGACTAGACTGCAAGGAAAGTGAGAAAAATCACCAAAATGTCATCTGAAACTAGCTTATTCATGTAAATAGTTAGTCTTATGTCCCTGATTCTGAGTGTTTTCCATCGCTAACTATGTATGCAGAGATATATGATGGATATATCCGAAAGAAAATTTCTGAAAATATTTCAGTTCAAATTGGACTTCGGAAAACTCAACGGAAAAGTAGGATTCAGATTATGATCGGATTCTGATTATTAGTCGCATTTAGTTATTTTAATAAAAATACGAGTCGGAAACTAAACTCTTAATGTGTGCGCATCTGCATAATAAGCAAAGAAACAATGTAAAATGACAAGTATTAATCACATTTAAAAAATTAATGTGAATATTTTAATCTTGCCTATTTAATTTTAAAATGAAAATTTCAGAATCTTTTGCTTTAAGTATAGCAGTTAATTTCATAAATTAGATTTTTGCTAAATCTGACGTTGCTCTAAGTCAGCTTTTCTCAGTAGCCAGCGGATCACAAGAGGTTTAGAAACCTGCCTTTGTGGTCCTACATTTATAAAAATGTCCCCTTTATAAACGAAATTACAAAACTTTGTCATTGCTTCTTGTTATGACTCGAGTACACTTGCAGTTGTATTAGCAAAACTAAATTAACTATAAATCCTCAATGCCCGTGAGAATGGGAAGGGGCTTATTTGAGACTTGCTTTAAAACAAATTATTCGCCATTTCCAAACTTGGAATCTCTTTTAAAAAATATTATTGGAAAACTAGGCAAATGACATATTCGCATATCGAAATTCTGAGGTCAAGCTTTCAAACTTATTTTCCAAGCTGAAAATAAGTGTTTTCAGGAGTTCTTGATTCTTTTATTTTGAAAACACTGTCATTGAATGAAAGAAAAATGAATTAAAAGTTTCAGAAACGTTTCATATTAATTGTAGAATCTTAATCGTTCGTTATTTTGTAGCCTTCAATGTTGTCTCTAGAAAACTTAACACAAATGTTTCTTTTATATCATGGAGTTAATTAATCGGCATATGAATTTATAGACTAAAATTGATTCTAGAATTTACCCTTTTCAAGGCTCTAATAGCGAGTGGAACAAACCATCGGTGGAAGAAAGACGAAGCCTTAAGATACCTGAAGAAGGCATCAACAGCCTATACGAACATGGTGTTTGCTTATTACATAGAGCTGGCTCTTAATGCAGATTCTGTCCCATTTATCAAAAGTCTTCACCCGGATCTTAACACAGGTATGGTATAACTGTAACCATTCCATTCATTCTCTGTTGTATCGGGAAAGCGGATGTTACGAACTTTAACGTTTCTCAACCTTCTTATCCTTGAAGTACTTTTACGGAAAGTATGCAACTTTCTTTTGTAAATTTTAAATCGCAAAGAAGACATTTTTTCTGATTTATTAAAGTTTAAATAAACAGTAATTCACGTTTTTATCAAGTTTATTAACCCTTTGCACTCAAGGCCTTTTGGCTCGGGCGAATCTTCAATTCGAGAGATTTTCCGCGTATTTGGTAAATATCCTATAGCCAATTTAAAATGATTTGTCACACAATTTAAAGAAATCTGGCTCTTTTATATCTGAAAATATTTGGGGTTCTCCGGCTGTTCCGGTCAGATACAAAACTGTATTTTTGGTTATGTTTCTTTGGAATCTGTGCACATTATTTTGAATTTTCTATCTTTTCTGCGGAATCACTGTCACTTTGATATTCACTATCTATTACCTCGGTTTTTCGTCGTCTTGCACCGCACTTTATCGCTATCTTCATCACTGCTTTCCTCCTTTCGATGGTCAAGCAGTCTACGCATTAGATTTATTTTGTTCTTCAAAGAAAAATCGAACTCATCTTCACTTGAACTGATTAATCCATTGTATTCCATGCTTAATGGGCTTCATAAATAGCAACAGCAAATAATTACTATTATCATGACTCTAAGTTCAAACTAACTTCGAAGACTCGTATATAACAAATCTAAGAAAGCTACTTGGTTAAAGGTTGGCAGTTTTATGCATGCGTTATTGAATACTCATGAAGCGATATTACTTAAACCTAAAACATCGCTACCGCTCAAATCATCTCATCAAAAAAGTGACCGAGAGTCATCAAGTTACCGCATTAAAGCAGCTGATGACGAAGATCAAAGGATTAAATCAAATCGAAAAAAAGCAAGAAATTTTACATGGAAGTTTTCTTACTCAAAGTTGTTTGAAAGCGAAATAAAATAAACATAACACTGTCGTTTATCTTTCATGTAAATACGAAAATGTAAAAAAAAATAGCATTGAAAGGACTTAATAAATCTGTAAAATGTCAAGGATAGGTCATAAAGTTTGATCTTGGCGGGCAATCAGATTGTTATACGTTAAATTCTCGAGCAGCACCAGCTGAGAAATATGGCTTTGCTAGGTTTATTCATTTGTGGCTTTAGTCTCTTCACTGAAGTTTTAATCTAGACTAGATCAGGGGTCGGCAAATGCTGTCCTTCTAATTGCTTATTTCTGTCAGTTATGAAATCTTGTGTAAAAAAAAAAAATTTCAACTTTTTCCTACTTGATTTTGTAAGCAAACTGCCGAAATGAGTAGCACGAGTGAGAATTTAAGACGGTATACATGCGCATTTGTACCGATGACTATAGTGTTCTCAACTTAAAATGATGGCTAGTAGATAATGCTAGAAACATGTGCTTCTGCCTAAGAATGTAGTCCTTTCATTTCTAGCAGCTTTAATTTAGAAGTTAAACAAAATAAGATTACTGTACAAATCACTGATCACAGGAGGGACACAAGCTTAAGGAAAGAACATTTCGCCTCCAAATACGAAACGGTATACATGTCGATGATTTGATAACCTAAAGGAACAATTTCATTTTTGGCATATTTGTACCAAAAATGGAAGTTGAACAGATGAATTTCGATTCTTGCGCTTGATTGTATGCAATTTCTAAGCACTGTTAGCTACTCATAAATTCATGCGTCCCATTCATCTCTAGAAAACGATTAAGGTAACTTAAGCAAAAGATAATGTTTTGATAGTTAGACAATAGAAACGGCTACACAAAATACATTGCTCGATGCATTGCAATTTAAAAATTTCTACCGGGAGATATATTCTCGTCTATCGCGTTCTGTAAATGATTGGGACACCGCAGAATATCGTCATGGCCCCGCCGCATTATGCAATCAATCATTTTTTGGCCGCGGTTAAGTGTTTGTGGGCTCCTGTCCTAGATGAATCCTTTTCACACACTATTTTTTAATATATGCAAAAAGTACTTCATCCATATGTAGTATAAAGCTTTCCTACTCCGCTTTCACCAAGATAAAAAAAATTCGTGTAGATTTCTCTACATTAATATCCCGGTTTCAAGCGGCTGCTTGGGAACTTCAAAGAGTCTTTTCAAGTAATAAGAGTAATCAGAGATACGCTAGTGCAGGTAATAATAAAATTTGACAGCGATGCGCTGCTGGTCGAACTTCTGAATCGGCATAAATTGAAGTTTTTGATATAAATCAATGTGAAGTTAACTGTTTTTATTCGGACTAGAATCGCACTTAAAAAGCGAAAAATATCGCATTTGCAGCTCTAAAATAACGTGTAGTTATAATAAAAAGGTTGAAGTTGAACAGATTAATTTCGGTTCTTGTGCTTGATTGTACGCATTTTCTAAGTACTGTTAGCTACTTATGAATTTAGGCGTCACATTCATCTCTAGGAAACGATTAAGATAACTTAAGCAAAGTATAAAATGTTTAGATAGTTAGACACTAGAAAAGGTAACACAAAATATATCAATTTTTTAGATTTGATTTCGTATCTTGCATTGAGCAAATTCCCATTAACGAAAATGTATGGAATTAAATAGATGATTACGAAATTTGAAAACAAACTGCTAGGTATGAAAAATCGTCGTAAATTCCCGAGTTCACTTTGAATTTTGGATTTGCAGCATGAAGCCTGGAATTCTTGGATATTTTCTCTTCCAATTACTGCTTTCAGAATTGGCATTCGGAAACGAGAAACAAGCTACTTATATGCCAGTTTAGGGTTGCCAGATGTTTGGATTCTTGATAAAAGCAGTAACTGTTATCAAGTCTTTTGGGATTTCAGTTTGTTAGTTTTCCTTTCTCAAAATGGAATTTTTCAGATGAAGTAGGAAATGAGTTTAAATCTTTAGTTTTCCCACTTTACAGCTGGAAAAATTCTCTAAATTTTACTTCTTGCTACTTTATCCAGAAAGATAAGCTACTTTATCCAGAATTTTATTTTATTTATTATTTTTTTAGTGTACATTTATCTATGCACAGTTGGAAATTTGGCTCCATTTGGTACTTCGCATTCATCCAAGGGAACTACAGACGCTAATTTGGATGAAATCTTTTGCTCTGAAGAGTAGTTTGCACATGTTTTTCTCTTTCGCATTATTAGTCTGTTACTTTAAAATAAGAACAATAAGTTAATTTCCGCCAACAGGCCTTCGTAACCACGAGAATGACGACAGAGGTATTGTATTCCCCCCCACATTCCATTTCTGTTTCGAGTTTTTTTAAGAAAAGCTCATGAATGAAGGCTGAATCGAACTAAACCGAAATGAAGGAGCATGTTTTGTGGTGATCATGATGCGTATTACGATCGCAAATAGAAAAGACTGGCAACGGCCTTGAAGTGCGTTTTTTAAAGAGGCTATAGTACCAATCCTTGCAATAAAGTGTGCCAACTGATTTCAAGTAGATCCTAAATTTAGATCTGATTAAACGTATAGCCACGAAAATCCGAAACATTCCTGAGAATGAGAATATTCCAGGAAATTTCTAGGATCATATTATTAAACATACATGCAATATCTCAATATCCGATTGTTTCATACGCCAGAAATATTCCAAGGGTTAATATTTACATTTTCTAAATACGTTTTAGAAATTTAGATAAGCAAAAAGCAAATCTGTAACTTTATAAACGTCTAAAACTTCTTGTTTGCATACAAAAAACCATCACAACCCACTCCTTTTCAAGGCTTGTTATGCTTTTTACGAGATTTTTTGCAATGTAAAGGAATATTTCCTTGAAATGCCTAGAATGTTTAACGTATATTCTTTCCGGTAGATTAAAATGTTGCAAACTGAATATGTTTGAAATGTCTACGAATATTCTTCATAAACAAACTTTGTTGGAGGTATGTCAAGGAAAGATATGACATGAAATGGAAATATTACTGGGATATTCGAAGTTGTGCAATGCAAAAATGTAAAAGCTGCAGACGGGAAGTATTTATTTGCCCCTATTGAAATATTGCCATGGTATAATTTATTTTCTCAATATGCTTGCTGAGAATAAGACCGTTTCGCCCCTTTTATCGGCCAGAAAATATGGCGACACTGTGTTAATTTTAAAATCTATAAAACTAATCTACAGTTATGGTTTTGATCATCTATAGATGTGGTCTGAAACCTTTAACATCGTTGCTTTTGTTTGAAAAATAAGATCACTTCGAAAGGTGGACACATTGTGTGACGGCTGATAGTTTTGATGTTTATGCTAATAATTGAAAATGAATGCTTGTGTAAGAGTTCAAGAATGAATTCTGAGTAAGAGACTAAATTTCGCTTGAAGACCTGCAATCGATAACCCACTTCCTACTTAGCCCTCCAAAGATTTTTTCAAGCTATTTTTATACAACTGGTTTGCATTTATTTAAACATTTATTATGCTGATATTTTAACAAATTGTTAAATATTTAGATATTTTTGTTTCTCTAGTTCCACAAGCCCCGCCAGCTAATATTCCAAGCAAATTCTTGCATTATTCACTTAGGAGTAGTGACTATCCAGATGTCTATTATACTATTGGACTTAAAGTTCCTCGAAGTGCAACATTCTTTGATGTTATGAAAGATTCTACTGTCTGGAACCCTCTTTTCAGGTAAGCCTTCAAAAGAACTTTTAGACAATTAAGCAGACTTCTAAATCTGCTTTACCATAATAGGCTACCTGCCTTTCGGTAAAGCTGGTACCGCTGAAAATCTTCTTAGAAATGAGATGTAAAGTTTGGCTCTTTCATTTAATCTTTCAAACGCACCGAAATATTTATATGCTAGAATCAAGTAAGCTTCAAAATGTTGAGATAGCTGTCTGTGCTTTCACCTATGTGCACTATATTCCATTACAAAGACCTTTACGAAAGCATTCTTCTCCTTAGGACGGTATTCTTTATATTACTTAGTTAATCCAATACAATGAAACCTACGGTTTGGGAAACAAAGGAAAACTAATTTTAGCAGAATATCAAGGACAATCTAAGATGTTTTCTATTTAAAATGCCGGTTTATTAGTTGAGGATGAGAGCAATAAGGACTCTGTTCCGTCTCGGTTAGAATATTGTCTATTTGTACTGGCTTAACGTTTGCAGCGCCAGGTAATGTCAGTGGCGAGAGCCCAGTACTAATCAGTAAGAGTTAGGCATGCACTCTGCCCACGCCGAGTCTTCTTTCCTCTGCCCGATCAAAGCGGCAGTCGGTTGTTATTTGTCATGCTTACACCACCTTTGTCCGTTTAAACGGCATTATTGTGCATGAAAGAATAAAAGTTAAGTTTTTCAACTTGACGTTTATGAATTAATAATATACAATCCACAACTACCAATTGCTATCAACAGACTTTTTTAATTCCTCCCCTAACCGGCAGGTATTGATCCTGTTTATTAAAAGTACTCTCGCCAATATATCTTTAACTACAGTAACAGGCTTATATTTTATTTCAAATAGGGGTGAGTCACGTTCAAGTTTTATTGCTAATTAAGGTTTGGCAAATGGCTGGTTGCAGGTACCGATGTTACGACATCAGTATTATGAAGAGTCTTTTAATGAAAGCAGAAGTCGGAAATCATATCGCCAGTTCGTTATTAAATGTAAGATGGCAAACTTAAATGTATTTTTTCAAGACGCTGCTGTTAAAAATGTTGGGGCTCATTTTTACGCCAACAGATAGCTGTAAACATTCTGTCGAAAGGTAGTCTTAAGACTGCATTCAACAATAATTGCGCGGTTAGTCTTTTCTTTTTAATCCCGGTTAGTATTCGTTGCTTAAAATGGATTCGAATCTCAAAAGTTAATGAGCTGGCAATAAATCGAAAGTATGCAATTACTTTAGAAGAAAGGTTAAAAATAACTCGTATGTATGATTACTGAAAAATATTAATCTACCTATTTCGATAGAGAAGACGATGGTGGAAGCTAAAGTTCGCGTTGTTGAAAGCAGGAAAGGTGCGCTAACGTCGATGGGCGCAATCATTACCAATAAGATGTTGGCGCCGCTTTTCAAATAACCTTGTTGCAAACTTGCCAGAGCCTTGCTAGAAACATGCTCACTTCAAGATGGTCTTGCTAGAAGTATCACATTACTGCAACTTAGAGGTGAAGACTAAGTCCGCTAACTGAGATGTACGCTTTTCTCTAGCTGTTGAAGATAGTGATCATAGCATTATTTTCTAGATTTCTGAAAGATTTAGATTTATAGAATTCTTGATGCTATGAGAAACATTCTTGATGCATGGGATGAAGTCAAGCGTACCACAATAAACGCTGAGAGGGAGGGAGAAAGAAAATCTGATAAATCATTTAGAGGTCAGGGAGTTGAACAAGTATAGCAAGAAAAGGATATGCAGATTAGTTACGAGTTGGAAATTAATAACTTTGACATTAAAGAACTTCTTTTGAGTCGCAATGACTTTATGATGGCCATATGCAATTGGATGCGTTCAGAAATTTCGGACAAAATCTTAATGCGTATTGAATCACAAATTCCAAGCATTAAAAACAAGTTACAATAAGTTAGCCGGGGCTTTTAACCGGTCGATATCCCGGTGTCAGTTGGAATCCATGGATTCGAACATCAAGAGGTTTGAGAGTGTATGTGTTCCGATATATTTGGCTACAATTTACATTGACGAAAAGGATTCGACCATAGTATCAACTCATGTTTGTGATATACCGTTCATGGCAAAATTATAAGGGTGACTCTGACTACTCCCAGCTTTCTTATTCAAAAGCAGAGTATTTTTCTGCACAACCATCTATCCGACACTGACTTTTCACTGTAGGACCAAATTAGTTGACTCAAGAAATCTTATCTTTCATTAACATATATTTCAGGTTTTATTTTTGACATTTTAATAGTTCACATTTAAGTTTCGGCGCGACATTTCCTTCCATTATTACTGTGCTTCCTGTCATTTGGCCCGGAAAGAGCATTTGTGGGGCATTGAGGATTAGCTATGGCGCTCTGAAATTTCCGATCACGATTAAAATCCGCTTCAAGAACATCTTGCTCGATGTGCAGGAGAACTCAAAATATCCTAGTGAAAAGGGCAACAACTCTTTCAAATACTCGAAAAACTAGATCATTGTAGTGCTGCTTCTAAACGACAAATGCGTACTTATTTTAATGCAAAAGTTTTCATTTTAAGATTATTTTGTTGAAAATATTTTTGGAACGATATATGAAAGATGTTTAAGTAATGAAATTGTCTAAACACTGATCATTTTTATCACCAATATGAAATTAAACAATATTTAAACATGTCCTTAAAATAGTAAATGCAGTCTATAAACAATGCAGTTTTCCTATTTATAAGATAATTATCTACGAAGTATTGTAGGCCAATTGACACATTCGATTACTCATCCAAAACAGTTTTCCTAATATACATTTTTCAGAACGATAAAAAAGTAGTACTTAAATTAACTAGTCTAATTTCATGTCTTGCTGGCGAAAGCTCATAAATGGTCAAGTTCCTTTCGCAGTTGGTATAGGAAACCTTTAAAAATCGGAGTTTTCTAAACGAGACTTTCATGAATAAGCGAAGCTTCAGAAACTTGGTTGGTTTCCTAGTAGTGTTTAAGCTGGAAGCCGAACATTTTAATCAAAATAATTCTTACCTCCTTAAAAAGTTGCTTAACTGCCACGGAAACGGTTCTTAAAATTACTTTTCGATTACTTATGTTCCTTCAACGAAATTTCTAAATACTCAAATTATACCAGCTGGCTGTCGTTTCCTAAAATTTAAAAATATTTTCTGCTGGGTATTATGCAAAAGTTGAGTTTTGTAGTTTTATAATACTCGATTTGAAATTTTCATTTCAGCTGTCGGAAAAAGTGTAAAAACTTGAATGCAATTAAAATATATTTGGTAGATTAAATGAATGCAAAGAAAATGCTAGTATCATTGTTGTTTTATATCACTGTATACTAAGTTTTCATCATTCGTATGCGAGATAACTATATAGATCAATTTTACTTGCCCTGAAGAGTAATTTATGAAAATTCTGTATGAATTCTATGAATTTAGAGATTGTACCTAATATCACCCAGATTTTTCGCATGTAATCTATAATTCTGTGAATATTTGCTTTCATTTTAGGTTTAATGCTACCATCGATAGGTATGGTATTCCTCACGTTTATTCAATCTCTGGTAAGCCTAATGATGCAGAAGCGAATCTTTATTGGCGACTCTGCAAGCAACGGAATAATGATGCAGCTCTCAGGAGTGTTAAAGAAGGTAAGCTTTTTAACTTACTAAATTATTTTTATTGTGGTTATGAAAAGTTTTAGAGCTGCTCTTATTGAAGTTTTTATATACAGCCTTCATTTATAAGCACTAATTTATTAGATTAATTTAATCGCTAATTTTAATATTTTATTTCAAATGCAAATGCCGTTATACTTCATTATCTTGGACAATGTGCGCGAAAAACAAATTTTCAGAGCAAAATTTGGATTTTACATTTATTAGTTTCTGTGAGAGCTAACTGCATCTTGATTGCACATGCCACTGAAACAAACATATGAAGAAAATTGTGGAAACGCATCGACTATTTGTCAAATTAATATCTGGTAGATATCTTATTTCAAATTAATTTTTGAAAACTTCAGACTAATGGAAGAATTTATACAACATTGGCTCCCTGTTGGCTCCAAAAAAACTTTTCGTATGTGCATGCATAACAGTGACTTGCATTTTGTTGCGGTGTTAATATTTGCCAAGCCCAGAATAATTGAGAGTTTACCTGAGAAAAGCATTGGTTCATGCGACATTAAATTTTCTGAGATTTTTACGGACACTGGGCTCCAGGGAATACACATAAATTGCATCAGTTATCTATTGCAAAGGCGATGGCATTGTATGAAACTTGGAACTTGTTCGTTTATACTCTTTGATACGCATTCAGATACTAGATTATTTAATAAGTAAACCAGTTTTTAGCACTTTTAACCTTTTCTATAAACAGATTCAACTAGACTTGTTATGGATTCGCTTTTCTCTGTCTGTCGTGGAAAAAATCATCTCGTTAAATATATCTCGTAATTCATTTAGAGAATTAAATTCGTAAATTTCGGTGCTAGGTAAGGAAAGTAAATGGAGCATTAATAAAAAAAAAAGTTGATCTACTGGAATGTGTGCTGGTTATTAGCACTGATTAAATATGGTGTGGTCCTACATTGGTTGGTCAAGTTTTTAATCTATATTAAAGAAAGGAGATACCTGAAATTAATATTTATGTTGAACATAAGAAATAAGCATAATTATTCTATATTCCTTCCTATAATAATCCTTACCTGTTCACCTTGAAACAGTGCCCTCTTTGAAAGCTTGACTTCTTAAAATCAGCATAATACATTTCTGTATTTAATAAATGCACCAGTGCATTTTAGTTTAAAGCACTGAAAATGTAAATGCAAAAGAATCGTAGTCGCATATGTTTGCGTACTATTAAATGCTAAAATGCTGTTATAATCGGAATATTCTCTAATTGTGTATTTTTCTGCTTTCGTCTAACGTATTTTTCCTTTTCAGCTCCTATACATGTTCAAGTGGAAGAAGCTGATTATTTTATCTATTGGTATACAGACAAGTCATGTGAGCAACTTTAATGGACTGTTAATTTTAAGATTGAAATTAAATCTGTTTAAACTTGGAGTGTGCATTTATTTATGAAATGATCGTAAGGCTTAAAACTGAACAGAAAATAAAATGTTCATTTAAACTAAGTTTATATGGTTTACAAGAAACTTGATGTACTTGTAAAATTTTTTCAAGTGTTGGATAAATCAGAAATAGCATAATCATTTCAGTTGTCGGTAAGCATTTTATTCAATTGGACTTCTAGTTAACGATCGTTTAATTTTGGTAGCTTCATAAGGACAAGCAGTATATTGGCTATTCATTTTAGTTTATCAAATGTTCAGATGCAGTTAAATCACATTTGCATGCTGATAACTATATAAAATTTCATTAGCCAAATTAAACGCATAATTCATTAAATCATAAACGACTGAAACCATTTGTGTAAATTAAATAATTTGGACATCACATATAAATCGTACTTTTTAAATGCGTGTTTGTCTGAATAAAACGGTTATAGGGTTGATGATGATTATTCCGCCGTTATAAAATCCGACCGCCTGATGGACGTCGACGGATAATCGCGTCAGTATTTGTTGGTTGTGCATTAGCACTGAAGGCGTAATGAGTACGTTTCCTCAAGCACAGAATTAAAGAATCATAAGTCAAAAGATTAACTACGAATTCTTTATTTAATAAAATAGGATAATTTTGCTTAACTTAAGCATAACAAAAAGTAATAATGTTCACGGACATTAAAACACTGAAGTATTGAAAAGAATAACTTACATAGAATCCTCATCAGTACTAAATATCATTAGGCTTACCTATTTTAGGCAATAAGAAAAATAAACAGGAACATACTTTGTCATCGTACCTGAAAGAGAAGAAAGTACTACTGGATTAGACCTTTGGCCAGGTACAAGTAGCTAGGGTGAAAATCAAATATACTGCATTGCACACGAGCTTTACTTTCTCTCGCCAATATATACCTTGGCGCACGTTCGTTTCGTATGCCTTTCGAGTTTCATTATGCAAAATACCTAAATTTATGCTAACAGTATTCCTTGAAGTCTGGTCTCTTACTCAATCGCCCGAATGCACGATCTGAAAACAGGGTTTTTAAGCAATGAAGTTTTTATCAAAATAAAAATTGGAGAATTTGGTTACTTATCAAAAATTACATAAACAATAACGCAAAATAAAGTTGAATTTATATTTTCTACCTGAAATCTAAAGCATGTTACTTGGAAAATATTCTTATTGATTATACGTGTAATTCAAATACATTGACAGCTAAATACTAATATTTCAGACTGACATTTAAAATATTTCTAATACGTTTAATGGATCATTAAACAACTTGATTTAAACTAGAAGAGAAACAAGCTAATGTGACAATCAAAATCGTAAAAACAACCTTGTATATTCTTTAAATTCTCCAAAATTTCGAAAACGCAGGATACAATCCGCCACCTAATTACTCATAACGTTAATTTTGACAAATCTTTGGGTTCGAATCTTGGCAAAAAGGTAAATGAGATCTTACGTGAAATTCATTCTGATACTAATATCTCTAAAGCTGATAAGGGCGGACAGATCGTTGTTATGAACAAACACACATATATTACTGGAGTCTCTAAACTGATAAATGAAGGCCCATATTGCTCGGTCCCTAAAGATTCTTCAACTTCGGACCTCACGAAAGTTAAAAGTGCTATCAAATCTTCTCATATTCTGCCAACGCAGTTGAAGAAATCACTTATTCCACCTATTACCAATTGCGCTAGGCTTTATGCTCTTCCAAAAGTCCACAAAACCGGTATTCCTTTTTGACGAATTGTTTCCAACATAGGTAATGCTTCATATCCTTTGGCCAAATATTTAGTTTCCAGATTTTCTCCTTTACTTGCTAACAATATTCACACTGTAAAAAATTCTGTTGAAGTCATTGTTAAACTTAAAAATATTTCTCCACTTCGTTCCATTATGGTTTCATTTGATGTCAAATCACTGTTTACTAATGTTCCGGTCGAAGGAGCCCTAAATTGTCTTGAAACTAGGCTTCGGGAATTTCACTTCACACATACTGAAATTAATGAGTTGGTTTCGCTTACTAAAGTCTCTCTAAGTCAAACCCACTTTGTTTTCCAAAATGCATATTTCCGTCAAGTTGAAGGATTGGCTATGGGTAATCCTCTCTAGTCCGGTACTTGCTGACATTTATATGCACTAATTGGAGATGAAATTATTTGATAAACTATCTTTTCGTCTTTGGATTCGGTATGTTGACGACACTTTCGCACATTTTGACGGTTATAAAGAGGATTTATCAGAGATTCTATCTATTATGAATTCATTTGATCCAGCCATTCAATTCACTCTTGAAATTGAATCCAACAATTTCCTCCCCTTCCTTGATATTCTTATAATCCGCAATGAAACTGATTTTAGCACTGTGTACCGTAAACCCTTTGCACTTTGTTTACCACCCTATGCCAAGTCATGCCACCCTGTTAAGCAAAAAATGGCTTCTTTTTACTATTATGTATTCCGCGCGCTTAAAGTTTGTTCCTGTGAATCTTTGCTTACCAATGAACTTAATTATTTGAGAGCAGTTGCGATTGACCTTGGATTTTCTCCCGTGAGTATTGATAAAGCCGTTAAAAGATTTTCAGATTCCCATGAAAGAAGACATTCCACTGTTAGAAATAATATTAATGACCTGGTCGTGCTTCCATTTTATCCTTCTGTTAGCTATAAAATTGCACGGATTCTCCAGAAATTCAATTTTCAAGTCGGTTTCTCCCCTATTAATAAAATTCACCCTTCGATTCTAAAAGATTGCGTTTCTGTCTTGAATTCTTGGGGAATTTATAGTATATCGTGTCAGTGTGGTATAAGATACATTGGCCAAACAAAAAGCGTTGAAGTTTCGTATCAAGGAACATGAATCTTATGTCAGAAAAGGCGAAATTAACAAGTCTTCAATAGCGTATCATAGTTGGACATTTAACCATAATTTTGACTCGGGGGTCTGCAAAAATTATCCAAAAGGCTTCTTCCATAGGTAAATTGGATTTTTCTTGAGGCTTTTCATATTCAGAGATTTAGAAGGTTAATGATTTGAAGTTCAATCCAGTCCTTCCTAATGACTTTAAAATTCTACTATCTTAATTCAGTTATTTTTGCCGATAGATGGCGTTACCTCCTCGCGTTTGGTACTACCAGAGGGTAAAAATCCGTTCAGTGGTTGCTTTCCATTATTCGAAGTTCAGATTTTGAGCGTGAAGGAGCAGTTGCCCCTCGCTCCCTATTTTTAACTTCGCTAATTTTTCTTTGTGTTACATGTTTGATCAGATAGCCTGGCTCAGTAAAAGTAGGCGGCCAGTGTAACTCTGATTAAAAATCCGGTTATAATCACGTGCAGTGCTGATAAGGACCACGTGTTTCTGACTCCCTTCCCCTTTATTTTTCTTCTATGTATTTCTTTCTCCTGATGAGGAGGGACCTTTAGCTGCCCTCGAAATCGATTGTTTCAATATACTTACGCTAAATACAAGGTTGTGTTTACGATTTTGAACTTGATTTAATTTAAACTAAAAATCGCATAATGGAAATTTTCTGAGAATTTTTAAAGTTGGCCAAAACTTGAGAATAAACTAGTCTTTCTTTTATTTATTTTGTTGACACGAATATATATGTATGTAAATAAATAATAATTTTGAATGTAAATGCAAAAATTTGTTTTCCTAATGCTTATGCACTGAAGAAAACTTACTCACCACGGATTTATACATCTCCAATCGTGTTCTCTCCTTTTTAACTGTTCATGTACTGTCAACACATTTCCTGTTTTAAACTGTTCACGTACAAAAGCTGTTCTCAGGTTAATTTCCAAACAGTGTTATTCTTGAAGCAAAAATTCGCAATTGAGCATACATATTCTTTGACTATTACTAATCATAATAGTCAAATATTTGATTATCTTCATAATAGTCAAACATATGTTTTCTAATCTTTGAATAAGATTTATATCGCATTGTAAATAAATTAGCTCATTCAGATTCTCCGGTGCGTTATTTACGTTCGTGTTTGGTAGTAATGAAAATTATGTAAACTCTGATTTTAGATAATTAAAACCTTCAAAACTTTACAACAAGTGCATAATTGAAATGCATTCGCGATTCGCATAAAATTTCTTCGGGGGGGGGACTTCCAGTTTGAGACGCATTGCCTAAGGTATTTCAGACATCATGCCTGAACTGAAGGTGTGTGATAACCATCTGATTACGCTTTTCAGTTTTAGTCCTATACGTACAGTCAAACGTTTATGATTAAAAGAAATGAATTTATATACAGTGACTCAAACAATTGAATACACCTTACTTTTACTAGATAAATCTAACTTTCAATATAAATAACACATTACCAAGAAGCAGAAACATGTTTTTATTTTTACACATAATGATTTAAAGTAAAAATAACGAACAACCAACAAAAAAATTCTAAAATAAAAAATTTCAGCATTTTAAGTAAACATATGCAGATTTTTGCTTCAAAAAATTGAGAATACACCAATGCAAGGTGTTTAACTATCAATATTTTTCTACGTGTCTTCTATTTTGATCTAATGTTGCGTAATTTTATCTTAAACTTCTTCACTTTTGTGAAGTTTGTTATATGAACTTTAAGCCCCACTTTTAAATAGAAAATGGCTCCTCGAAGAGAGGCCATTATTAATGTAAGGAAATTCGCACCAAGGTTATATAAGAATAGAAAATCTTATGGTAAAATGGCTAAAATTGTCAATAGAAGTCCCATGTGCGTTCATAAAAACATTGGAAAATTTAAAAATAAAGGACTGATTGAAAATAAAAGTGGAAAAGTAAGAAAATGTTTACCGAGTGTAGCCGAAAGGAAAATTTTGAGATATTAACATTGTTCCTAAAGTAAATGCAGTCAAACTTGCTGAAGAAAAGTTAGCCTTGAAACTGTGCGAAATGTAACTAAACAAGCTCGATATAAAAGTAGAATTGCTAGAAAGACTCTTCATCAGCTTCCAAAATCGGAAA